GGAATCCTACAAGATGTGGCCTTTTCACTCCGCTTATTTCCCTCAAAAACCTTGTTGCTGAGTTTCATCCATGTTGTAGCATGTATCAGAAGTTCATTCCTTTTTATGGCTGAATAATAGAAAAATGTGTATACCACATGGCCAACATGGGGAAACCCAGTCTCTACTAAAAACACAAAAATTAGCCGGGCGTGGTGGTGGGCACCTGTAATCCCAGCTACTCGGGGGGCTGAGGCAGGAGAATCACTTGAACTCGGGAGGCAGGGGTTGCAGTGAGCTGAGATCGTGTCATTGCACTCAAGCCTAGGCAGGCAACAAGAGCAAGACTCTGTCTCAAAAAGAAAAAAGAAAAGAAAGAAAGAAAGGAAGGAAGGAAGGAAGCAACAAAGGAAGGAAGGAAGGAGTATATACCAGGCATTGTTTATCCATTTATCCACTCATCTGTTGTTTGACTATTGTGAATAACATTGCAATGATTATCGGTGTACGAGTATCTGTTTCAGTCCCTGTGTTCAGTAATTTTGGTTATACACCTTGGAGTGGAATTGTCGGTATTACAACAATTCTATGGTCATTCTATGTTTAGCTTTCTGAGGAACAGCCAAACTCTTTTCCACAGTGTCTACACCATTTCACATTTTCACCAACAATGTACGCAGGTTCCAACTTCTCTACATTCTCACGCACATTTGTTATGTTTTTTTTATTCCCTCTAAATTACAGCCATCCTAGCTAGTGTGAAGTGGTATCTCATTGTGGTTTTGATTTGCATTTCCCTAAGGACTAATGACTTTGAGCATCTTTTCAGGTGCTTACTGGCCATTTGTATACCTTTCTTAGAGAAATGTCTATTCAAGTCCTTTGCTGACCATTTAATTGGGTTGTTTGTCTATTTGTTGTTGAGGTGTAGGTTTTTCATTTGTTTTTTGAGACAGAGTTTCGCTCTTGTTTCCTAGGCTGGAGTGCAGCGGCGTGATCTCGGCTCACTGAAACCTCCGCCTCCTGGGTTCGAGTGATTCTCGTGCCTCAGCGTCCCGAGTAGCTGGGATTACAGGAATGCGCCGCCACACCTGGCTAAGTTTGTATTTTTGTATTTTTTAGGGACAAGGTTTCTCCATGTTGGTCAGGCTGGTCTCAAACTCCCGACCTTAGGTGATCCACCCACCTCGGCCTCCCACCGCGCCCGGCTGAGTTATAGGTGTTCTTTACATATTCTGGATGTTATCAGATACAGGATTTGCAAATATTTTCTCCCATTCTGTAGGTTGTCTTTCACTTTCTTGAAAATGTCCTTTGATATAAAAGTTTCACATTTTTTATGTACTCCAATTTACCTACTTTTTGTTGTTTCTTCCTGGGCTTTTAGTGTCTTGTGTAAGAACCCATTGCCAAACACAAGATCATGAAGATTTACTCTTACGTTTTCCTCTATATGACTTTAGTTGTTATATTTAGGTTGTGAATTATTTTTCACATATGCTGTGAAGTAGAGCTCAACTTTAGCCTTGCATGTGGAAATCCATTTCTCTCATAGCATATATTAAAGAAACTATTATTTCATCAATGAATAGACTTGGCACTCTTGTCAAAAATTCATTGGCCATAGAGGTATGGATTTATTGAGGATCCCTCGTACATCTCTTGTGGCTTTCAAGATTCTCCCTTTGTCT